ATAATAATAATAATAATAGTAATATAAATTATAACGTCGGCCAAGATAAATATATTAATAAAATGATTTGCTCATCAAGATAAAATAACAATACCAATAATAATGATGATAAAAAAAAAAAAGGCATACGATTGCAATAAAAACGTCGATAAAAATAATAATGATGATGAATGAAGGGTGCACCCATAAGGTCGCACTGCTGCACCACATAAAAGTACGAGTTGACTCTCAATGACATGAAACGTGAAATTGTTACGTTGAGGGGTGGGGGGGGGTGGAAAGTACAACGTGCAACGGCATCGTTGGACGCCTGGCGCGCTCAAAAGGGTGCAGCGCAGAACTCCCCATGTCTCCATTGTGCGCGTAAAAATGCATCAATAATTGTTGTCCGCCACAAAAAAACGAGCCGTATACAGCTCTGCCACGACTTTGGATCACCGATATACACGCACATGTGCACGCATACATATATACAGAAGCATATAGCTGCGATCGATCGGCCGCACTCGTCTGCAAGCCCCGGTGTACAGGTCGTCGAGTTCATTAAGTAAACATGACCCACCGCACGCCGTTTTCACAGTTACAACTCACTGCTGCGCGGCAAGAGGAAAAAACCTTGTCGGTCCAGTAGCAGTTTCCCGATCCGCGAGCATCAGGTCGTGGGACAAAGGACTGCGGATCGCCTACGGCTGCTGGTGCAACAGCTGCTCCAACTCGTCGGCCGACCTCAGGAGGAAGGCCGCGGACTCCCGGTAGCCGGTTATCAGCTGGCGCACCGCCGTCATTTCCGTCGCGTTGAGCTTGTGGCTCAGCAGCGGCTTGGCGTTGTTCTTCATGCTCAAGTCCGTGGGCCCTGGATACAAATAACGCGCTGCACAGTTACTTTTCTCGAATCAAGGGAGGGAAGGCATCCAACGGGAAGGAATAAAGGGGCTAAGGGGACTGCCGGTAGAGTTACATAGTATTACTTTGCGTTGTACCGTTGCTGAGGAGTCCCGAGGTGAAGCTCTGCGTGGGGTAGAGGCCGGCCGAGAGGGTGGGCGGCACAGTCGTCGGCCCGGCGCGCTGAAACGCCTGGCTGAAGTTCGGCCTGTACATGGCCGTGGGGGCGGCCGCCGCCGCGGCGCTCCCGATCCCGTTGGCCGTCGACGAGCTCACGACCGTCGCTTGGCTGTAACAGTCGCGAGAGGGGCTTGATCAGCTCCAATGGAGGGGGGAAGGGGGTGTACAATTGCAACGAGAGGAGTATAGGTATATAGCACCCACCTCATGAGGCTCTTTTGGGCGTCGGTGGCGAGGAGCTTCGAGGTCGGGGCGAGCGAGAGGGGCGCCGAGGCCAGGCTGGCGCCGCTGGGTAGACTCGTCAAGCTGGTCAGGGGCGCCAGTGACGTGTGACTCGCGGGCGGCGTGTCCTCCCGCTTGTTTGCCGGCAGCGCCTTTGCCGGACTGCTACTGCTGCTGCTCGCAAAGTGATCCATGCTCGCTCGCACGTCCGTCTGCTGGATACATACATACATATTTTTCTCTTTTTCCCTCCAATCGAATACATTTGTCTGCCTTTTCCCAACATATACCTAACAATACCCGTGTATTGAGCGTAAAATCGGTAACGCATTTAATAGACATTTTACGCGTCGCCGATGATCTATGCCGTCTTTCTAACTCCAACCAAAAGTGTATCATATACAAATAATTGTGTCATATGATGAATTAGGAAGCAATCGCGTACTTAAAGTAACGTACATTTTATAAGCCCGTAAAAATAATAGAGGGTGAAGATCGAGTTTAATTTACACTTGTTAAATGAAGGCGGGTCGTATAGATCGAGCCGCTGCTCACCTCTGACGCGCTATCCCGATGGTGCTTAAGCTGTTTGTGCATCACCCGAAGATTTTTCTTCCTCATAATGTTTTCGGGGTCTGTATAGTACTTGTGCGTATTATATATCTACATATACTGTACCGTATACTATACTGTACGGACACACAAGCCGGGGATTCGGCGGGGCGTCGGTACTTGTGTGTACACACCGCGACGAGTGTGCACTTGTTGATTTTCGCGAAGCAGCGCAAAAAACAAAAATAAAAGGATATACAGATCGTATTAACGCGAGCTGGATGCCATTGCGGCGATTAATCCAGTCACGTCGTCTGCACCGGGACTGCGGAGAATGAAGAAATCGTCATCCGCGGAACTAACCCGAGTGTAGTAAGTAAGTAACGGAGAGCAACAATAATAATCTTATATTCCCTCTCCCTCTCGTACCTATATACACACGCTTGTTGCTCTCTTTTAAGCGAATGGACGTATATAGGCATACAAATAATAATAACAATATATCGAGAAGAGCCGTACTATAGGTATATACGGCCGAAGAATGAAAAGTGCTAGCGCTACGCGAGCACAAAGCGTTGTATTACTACGAGTACGTGTACCCGCGAGTGGCGAGCGGAGGGTCAGAGCACGAGGTTATCGCGCGGCTAGCCGGAATTCGTATATACCCTGTAGATAAGTAAGTACAGGCGAGTTCGACCATCTGTATTGCCTCTCCAATTCGACACTTTGCAACTCTTGTAATATACTCAAGGTGTAACAACTGTTATACACTTATCTAATAATCGATTTTCATATTATAGGTACTCCTGGGTCTCAACGTAACCGCAGTCATGTCGGCTCGCTCGGGTTGACGTGTGCTGAAAGTACGAACGACAGGTGTGGCCCAACTTACCGTGGCTGCGGGCAAAGTCGGCATGGGCTGGGAGACCGGCTCGAGTCCGACTCGCATGCGTTTGGCGTTGTCGCTCTCGTTCTCGCAAGCCGTAGCGAGGATCTGTTCCGCCTGGACGGAGGTCAGGTGGGCTGGAGTCGGCCTCGCCTACGGAACAAAACATCAAGACTTGTTTTCCTCCTCCCCCCCCCTCCCCCACTACGAGGATCACGGGCAACTCACCGCGTCCCAGGGTGCGCCCTCTCTGCCCCGCTTGTTCCTCCGACAGCTCTTCAAGTAGGTCCTGATCCGCTTGCGCGCTCGCTCGGCAAACTCGGGAAACTGCCTCGTGCAGCTGTCGATTATGGCCTGGATCTTCTCTTTGGGCTGCTTCGAGATCGGCACTATGCGGTCCAGGTTCTCGTCGACAAACAGCCTCACGAACATCTGTACACACCCACCCGGCATTCTTCGTGCATTACAATGACAAAACGATGCGAGTCGGTGTTCATGAATGATTATTTATGTACTTACGTTGAAGGCCTTGAGGCGTTCCGGGTCGTGGTGTCGGGGGTCCAGCCTCTCGTCCACGTCCTCGTCGTCGTCGTCCTCGTCCTCCTTGTTGCCGCTGCTGCTGGTCTCGTCGTGGGCGCTGCCGGCCTCGCCGCCCGCCGGGCTCGACTCCCTGTCCCGCGAGGGTGTCCCGGAGCCGGGCGGCTGCGGTCCCGGTGGCGTCGACGGCGTCTTCTTCATGCCCATCGTGTACGACGCCCACAGCGAGGCCATGTCCTCGCCCGCCACCGACCCGGGCGTACCGCTGGCCGCTACCACCGCCGCTGCACCCTGGACCGGCTCGCCAACTGGCTCCACGCTGCCGTTGCGCGACTCTGAAACCCCGTCAATTTTTTACCTCCGAGGGTGTTCTTTTCTTTTTTTTTACTCCACGAAGGCAGTCTTTGTTCTCTACATCCACGTTGGATTTCACAATGTAAATAAGCTCAGTTACTTCATTTCTTTGAGAACAATCTATTCAGCCACGGGAAGTTCTTTTAACGCAAAATAAAAACCTCGCTCTCGGATACACCTTTTTTTTCTCGTTTTCTTCTAGATGATTCATAATTTTTTTACTTCAGAAATTATAACATTGTATACTTTCCACAAGACCAGAACAAGACCAGCGGAACATTTTTATTTATCGTACGTGGATGGGTATAAGTGTATAATATGTGTACATACGTAGGGGCCGTTGGCTCACCTGTAGGGGTGCCGTTGCCCGTACACGCCACCGATTGGCCGGCGTTGGCCGACGTAGCGCTGCCACCGGCACTGGGGCAACCCGTGGCCGCGGGACTACTGGTGCCGGTGGGCGAGGCGGCGGGTCCGTTGGTCGGGGCCACCGTGGGCTGCTGCGCCGGCGCCGGCTGCTGGGCTTGGGTGGCGAGCGCCTGGACCGGCGAGCCCGGCACCTGCTGCTGCTGGAGACTGTAGTTCCACGCGAGCAGCATCAGCTTCAGCTTGTCCGCGTCCTTCATCAGCGCGCCTGTTCAAAGCAAAGAGGCAACAGCCGTTTAACACCACCCTCAGGCTCTTATATACACTCTCTTCAACGGTCGCTCGGAAGGGGCTTCGATAAGTCGAGCGTGTCGATTACCCAAGGGGTGATACGTAAATCGGGATGGCTTTATGGAGGATTAGGCTCGAAGCTAAGAGCAGCGGACGAGTGTATACTATAGTTTTTTTTTTTTTTTTTTTTTTTTTTTTTTTTTTTTAACAAACATACATGTTTTGTCATCTCGTTACATTAATATACTTCAGACAATATATATTGCATTGTGCGAAAAACGAAAAATAATTCTTTCCAACCAACATCTCGGATTGTCTCGACAATTTTGGGATGAATACCCAAAATTTCAAGATTTTGCGAGTATATTGAAAACATGTTTTATTCAGTAGTTGGGTACATTATAATATAAAATGTTCAACATTGAAAAATTTAATGAGGCCTCAATCGAAACATTTGCAAACGTTGTGTTGAAATGGGGAAAAGATAATTAACGTATTATGCCAGCAATTTAAAAAATGACCCACCGCAGGTCACATTTTAACAGCGGAGATAAAAATAAGGGCGCAGTTGGTAAAACTGGGTGGTGTATAATACAAGTGAACGCTAAAGAAATGTATCGAAAGTAAAAAAAAAAAAAAAAAAAAAAAGTACTCACTCGAGTAGTGATCATCCTCCGAGATGTCGGCTGGCTCTGGAGTAGAAATGTTCTCCTGAAATCAAAAAGTACAGATTTGTTAATCTTCCGTGGTGTGCATATGCATATGGAGAATATTTGAAAGAACGTTTTCGAGCGGTACATCAATACATTTAGGCATTAAAAATGCGTGATTGGATCGATTTCAGTAAAGGGTAGGTATAGGTACAAAGACGAGGAAAAGAGCCTATTAAAATCACACGTTAGTACATGTTATATATAGGGTTCGTAAAGAAAAAAGAGCACAGATAAAAAAAAAGATGTACAAGCATGAAAGTCTTTTTTTTTTAATTCTTGTGATTAAAGATGACGTATCCTTGCACTACACACATATTTATGCAACGAAGCCGATTTTTTTTTTTTCACCCCCTCTGTAACATTTTTTCTCTTCGATTAGTTAACGACACCTATGCACACGCGCCCTGTATTATTTACAGCCTACTAATGAAAAAAAAAAAAAAAAAAAAAAAGCCCCAACGATTCTGTCGCATCGTATACACGTGCACATCATCAAGTAACCCGCGTAAGCGAGAGAGGTAGGAAAAAAATGTTTTCCCTCCGCCGCAACCCAATAACCAAGTTGTTGTGTCTTTTTTTCGTTCAGCTCGATTTGCCTGCATCGTAGCATTGCACACACTTTGCCTTCGAGCGGACGTATACTTAATATACACACACGCGCGCGTGCACGGACCGCGTCTTTTTCTCTTTCTTCTCTTGAGGAGAGATCCGACCATGCTTTTGCAGCTTGGCCGGTGCGCCGGAGAGTAAGTATATAAGAGGAATCGTGTGGCTCGGGTAGATTTGTTTCGTTGAGCGCAATTAAGCCACTTGCCGGCTCAATTGCTTGTCGCTCAGCAGAGAATTCCGTATAGCTGCCATCAGCCGCGGCCGAGTTTGTGTATACGTTGCGTCGCTGCTGAGATGCTGCCGGCTTCTAACGTATCCTTAATATAATAAGTTACAAGGGATATACGTGTGCATATAGTATACCCATGGCAGATGTAGGTATAGCTTGGCTGACCACTCAACATTTTTTTTACTTGGCTCTACAGTGTCCTCTAATTACAATTCGGGTTTTTATACTTAATCTGGCTTGTTCCCTGTACTGTAGGTGCTTATATTATTATTACAAACAAAAGTTCAACAATAAATAAGGACATAATTATGTACTTTAGCATTTAACTTCCACTGAATTTATTTTCCGGGCCCGCAGTAAAACCTGCATCTTCGATGTTAAAGGTATCGAGCTAATCAAAATAACATCCCTTTTCCCCAACGAAGAAGATAGGTACGGGTCATGGGTACGATTTTGTGCGATGTAGGTACATCAAAATTCCTTACTCTATCCTTACAGTATATTCTCGCTATTCCGAAATTTTTTGTTTTTTGCACATACCTACGTCTAAAAAAATGTAGCTCTGAAATTGATTTATGTAACAGTATAGTTACCGAGTAGGTATATAGGACTCCCCTTTGTTGCTGCGACGGTGACTAACACATTATGCTATATATACCTGTGTACACAGTGGGTATACTTGTATGTTGTACGAATGTGTGAAAACAAAGTAACAAATAACAAAAAACTGCAGGCCTACAGTCGCGTCAATATAATATATTATGTAAAGTCAATCATCAGTAAAATCTCGAGGTTTTTCACGTTTCCGTCAGATGGCAGTTCCCATCGCAACTTTGTACTCGCGATCGCGACACGATCATTCATTGAATTTGCTTTTGTTGCTCGCAAACGATTACATTACCACTCAACTGATGTCATCACTTACACAAACGTGCCAAGTACCGATTGATATAATAACGTCATATTATGCACCGTAGCGAGAAAATATTTACGTTTTAGACTTGATTTTTCAATCTTTGTTATACGTATAAATGTCAATTATTGCAAGCGCTATAGGTGTACTTTATTATTGTTATCAAAATTACCTGAATCCAATTTTCCGACTGGTAGGTGGGCTGCACGTGTGTTGTGCATCTTTTTTTTCTTTTTCTCTACTTATCCAAACGATAAATAAAAATAAATCGAAATCCACCACACCTTACCAATATATATTATTATAACGTTCGAAGGTTGGAAATCCTAAAACACAAGCGCTGCCGATATATTATATACTTATGTAGGACTCGAGAGTATACGTGCCGCTGTACGGGGGTATATAGCCACTGGGAGGAAAAACAGAAAGTTGTTTTTTTTTTCCCTTTTTTCACAAGTACATACTGCAGCCGTGATCCACACACGCAGAGAGAGCCAAACGTATTGTAAGCTGCTCTCTTATCGGCTCGAAGCTCTTTCCATTTGACGGAGTCGCTCATCCCAAGGCTGTACTCGCGAGTTATCTCTCTTTTTTTTTTTAAATACTTTTCTTTGCTCTTATCCTCGTCAGATGATAAGTGTTCCTATACGCCTATATTAACACGTGCATCGTACAACCTAGAGCTTGATCAGCTCGGCAGACTCCCAAATTTTTATATGTATGCACATGCCTATACCTCCATCAGGTATCAGTGATCGGCCGTAAGTATACATATTTATTCTTTTGTACAAATATCGTTGAACCGTATATAGGTATACAAGTGACTTATTGCACTTGCGTAAGGATGCAAGTTACGAGAGAACGAGGCCGACGCGCCGTGACAATGCAACGCGACTCGTGCCGCCGCACAGCCGATTAATCGAGCTCCCCGGGCGTCATCGACCTCTGCTCTCTATCGGCATCACCCAGGGACTATACCGCCGCACTGAAATTTCATCGGCAGTGCAGTTCTGCTCTGCTCATGAAAAGTCAAAATCAAGTCCGGGCTGACCTACTACTAGCCCCCTGACTCTCTTTTGCGTGAATACTTGTGGAGGATGGAAATTATTGCAGTTGGGGGTGATGATTTTCGAGGAGGGGTCACCTCGGAAGGCTGATCGTTGAAGTGGAGGCGGAATTACAGTGACCAAAGCCGAGAAATCGGTAAGGTGGGAAATGCGATCGTTGCACCTATACATAAGATCGGTTTAATATCGCAGCGCACTTTTATCTGTATATGAGCGTGCACATAACAAGTACGGAACAAGCGTAGGTGCTATATGTGCGCGAGCGATATAATGTAGTCGCCACCGCGATCGATCGGAATCGTTTTTGAACTGAACCCGATTTTAACCCAACGCGGCTCATTTTGTTCGTAATAAAATTGAGCATACTTTTTATGTGCGATTCTTCGGTCTTCCTCTAGACTCGGAATACCTGTTTCGGCCATTTTTGCCATTTTTTTTTCGGGAGGGGGGGGGCTTTGCTGACATTAGTATAGTCGTTAAGTTATGTGTCAATTTGAGACCAAACATTACAACTATCCTATTTTTTTCGAGGTACCTATATGGTTTTTACCTGATTCCATCATACTATATAGGTACAGAGTGCAGATACCTTTACCTATACCTTCCCACCCATATATGCATAAATATATAAGTACCTACACGGTAAGAGAGCGTACATGCGGCAGGGACGGCATTGCTATACTCAGGTATGGAATGTATATGAAAAGCCCCCGTATATAACATGAATAATTTACTTATGGTATGAAGTTAAATGTCTTGGGGTATTCTGTAAGCCAAAATTTTTAATTACAAACCAGTGATAATAAGCTATACTGTTGAATGATAAAAATTGAAATCCATCGTTTAATATTTCCTATTTGAGTGCACATTACGGTATACGAAGCTAACGGAAATAATACATCATATTTTTCTATAAAAACAAGGTATGAGCTATATATGTGTACAGAGTAGATTGTGCACGTTGGCAATAATGTTGTGAATAATCGTATTAAAAAAAGGTACCAAAATATTTTCACTGGAAAAATTGAAAAAATATACCGTTGGACTATGGTATGTCATATTCGTTTGATTTCGGCATGTGACACCCTATGGTTTTGATATGAAACGCTCAGAGCTTTATTAAATAGATTGTTTTTGGTTTCTATTTCTATATACATATATAGGTACTTATGGAATTCAATACTACGTATATAGGCTTCGAAATCATTGAAAAGTGTATAAGTATAAGTATATGTAGCGACGCCCCTGGCGAGCGGCCGGTGATTCCAGACTCTCCTCGCTGTACCACATATATGTTATATACGTATAGGTACGCGCATACATCAGGGGATCAGGGAGAGCCCGACCTCGACACACAATTCACGAGTGCAGGTATATATATATACGTACAGAGACGACTGCACAATCGTGCAGCAGCGGTAACAGTCTCTCGCTCTCCCCGTTCGTTGTCACTGTCGCGCGTAGTATATATATATATAAGTATATGCAATGCCATTATATGATGCATGGAACAATACTTCTTATATACACAAGTACGAAGAAGGTATTGCAAATGTTGTACCTATACATCACCTACATCAATACTTGCACGTTTCGGGAAATCTCGAAAAATAACTGTAGCCTATATAATATTATAAATCATCATGGTCACCGTGTAAGTACCTAATGGTGCTGACTGACCACCATATCCCTATATATACAATATAGATGATGGTAAGAACAGAGAGCACAACAGCTCGAAGCTCGACTCGACCTCCTTTTTTCTCCTCCCCATGCATATCCACGTGATGCACTCATGCACGCAGCAATTAACGCGGTAGAGTCCAGGTAGCATAGCGAATTAGATATAGACATAAACTTTTGAAACAAGAAGGGTGTGTGAGTACTTTCTCATCAGTAAAGCTGCTTTTTGGAGAAACGGTGCAAAGGCTAACAGTATCGTCAATGATAAGTAATATAATATATCATACTGACGAGTCTATATAAGATTTAACATTTTATTATAATTTTAAACATGTATAGAATTGAACTAATTTTATATTTATTCATTCAAATGTATACGTATATTATAAGCAGCTCCTCCCCACTGGAACAACAATACACAGTATAGGTATACTAGCCTATATAGCAATTTGCGAGGCTTCTCTCCCGATTTCCGATTTTTCAACGCACCGCATATC